CGTTGCTATCTGCATAGTTGTGGATCAAATTTTTGTAAGAAAGTATGACATTTATGTGTAAAAAACAGTTTTGAGTGTATTCCATACTTGTATAACGCAAGCTAGGTCTTTAGTTGACCTCTGGTGTCGGAAACCAAACTGCATTTCCCTAGCGCTTTCTGTTGAATGTCATCTCCACCACTTTGCTGTCACATACAGGATGTTCCTTAATGATATGCGAACATTTAAGGGAGTGAATCTACATGAAAAATTAATGTTAGTTTGCGTTATAAACTATAGTCCAAAAATGTTTCCTTACAAAAACTCGGTGTGTTAAGTTTTAGGAAAAAAAACGGAAATTAATTAATATTTTCAGAACCGCTTCAGATATTTCACTAATATTCAGTACGTAGTGAAAGTTAATAAAGTTACATATTTTTCAATGAAAAAATAATGTTTAGCTCCAACAGTGGCGTGCGTACGGGTATTGACTTCGATATTTTCTAGGAAAAAAATGGTACGCCAATGGTTTTCTGCCAAATAAAAATTATTTCTGAATTCCCCGCTCAGTTTAAAACAAATGATCTGCCATTTTTGAGTAAAAAATAAAAACCGTTCTATTGTCCGAGAAAATTAATGTAATAATTGAAGAATGCCATTTAGCAATAAATTTCTAGTTGCTCTGGAAAATGTCACTGGCTTTTGACTTCTGACAAGTCTCTGTTATTCAAGTCTGTTCGCTGTGACATCTTTTTCATTATGTTTTTACAAGCTTGTTAATAATGGTGAATTATTCAAATGCAGAAAAGGTGGAAATGCATTACGTATATGGCCTTGTCGACGGCAATGTAGAGCAAGCCAGACGGATTTATCACCAGAGATATCCCGATCGTGCTTTGCCAGTCGAACGTTTTCTAACATGCATCGTCGTCTTGTTGAAACTGGTTCTGTAAGAAAAGGAACATCTGAAGGTAGACCTCTAAGTGTAAGAACATCTGAAATTGAGGAAACAGTGATGTACAAAGTCGAAGAACGTCCTGAAACGAGTACGAGCAAGATCGTTAGACACTTATCATCAAATTGTTTGGAGAATTTTAGTGGATTTTTTGTCATATCCTTACCATATTTTAAGAGTGCAGGCATTACTTCGCATTGATTTTCCAAGGCGTGTGACCTTTTGTCAATGGTATCTTCAAGAAATTACACAAAATCCGCAATTTGAAACAATGATTCTGTTCACGGACGAAGCTATTTTTTTCGAAATGCCATTCAGAATTTCCACAATAATCATTTGTGGGCAGAAGAAAATCCTTTGCCGTAACCGAAACATACATTTTCGGTTAACGTATAGGCGGGAATTATTGGCAACAACTTTATTGGCCCATTCTTCTTGCCGGGACGACTTGACGGACAGACTTACCTCAACTTTCTTCAACAACAGCTGCCTTTGCTCCTTGATGATGTTCCGTTAGTAATAAGAAACAATATGTGGTACATGCATGATGGTGCACCAGCGCATTTCAGTATAGCGGTTCGTAATTAGTTACAAACTGTTTATCCAAATCGTTGGATTGGCCGCGGTGGGCCCCAAGAATGGCCACCAAGGTCCCCAGACCTCTACCGTGTAAATTTCTTTTTGTGGGGCTATCTTAAGACACTAGTGTACACAAGTCCCATTAACACTGTATAGGAATTAAGAGAAGGAATAGTTGCAGCTTGTGATTCGAGGGATGTCCTTTAAGTTTTGCATATAGAAACATAGTAGGCCGCGCGGATCGAACGTCAGTACTGAATCTTAACCTCACTCTTTAGTAAACTTAAATTCAAAGTTTCACAACAATACGTGCATTGTTCTTACTGAATTTTTAAGTGTCACCAAGTCATTAGAAAAATGGAACTCAACCGAGAACATTTTCGCGCCATAATTTATTACAACTTTCAGAGAAAATTATCGCAACAAGAATGCCTTGCTGAGTTACTGTCTGTTTTCGGCAACGAAGCACCACATCAGTCGACAATTTCCCGTTGGTATAGAGAATTCTAACGTGGACGGGTAAGTCTTAACGACGATCCCAGAGTGGGTGCACCAAAAACGGCAGTAACCCAGGAAAACATCGATGCTGTGCGCAAACTCATCAATGCAGATAGACATGTGACATATCGCGAGATTGAGGCATCCTTGAAGATCTCAAAGACCTCAATTCAAAAAATTTTACATGATGAATTAGGAGTAAAAAAATTAGTTTCTCGTTGGATACCCCACCTGTTGACTGAAGAGCAGAAAGCAGCCAGGGTTAATTGGTGTCAAAAAACGCTTGACCGTTTCAATTCTGGAAACTCAAAAAATGTGAACAGTATTGTTAGTGGTGATGAATCGTGGATTTACTGTTATAAACCAGAAAATAAACGACAGTCGGCTGTTTGGGTGTTCCAAAGTGAAGAAAAGCCAACAAAAGTCATCCGTTCTCGAAGTGTTTCGAAACGGATGGTCGCGACATTTGTGTCAAAAGCGGGACATATTGCAACAATTCCTCTTAATGAGCAAAGAACTGTTACCGCAGATTAGTATACCACCATTTGCTTGCCAGAAGTCATCACCGATCTCCGAAAAATCTACCTCGAAAGAAGAATCATCCTCCACCAAGACAATACAAGCTCGCACAGCCCAAAAAACAAGGCAGTATTTAACGGAAGAAAACGTGGAATTATTGGACCATCCTCCATATAGTCCCGATCTAAGTCCTAACGATTTCTTTACTTTCCCGAAAATTAAAAACAGACTGCGTGGTCAAAGGTTCCAATCACCAGAAGAAGCAGATGACGGATTCAAAAATGCCGTTTTGGATCTGCCAGCAAACGAGTGGAATAAGTGCTTCGAAAATTGGTTCGAGCGCATGCAGATGTGTATTAATCTTCGTGGAGAATACTTCGAAAAACAATAAAGTCATTTAAAACTATCTACCGTGTTGTTTTATTTCAATATGCAAAACTTAAAAGACATCAATCGTAGAATACGCGTAATGTGTTTAATTTTTCCAATTAAATTAATAATAATTTTGCAAGTTAGACAATAGAACGGTTTTTATTTTTTTACTCATAAATGGCGCATCAAAGGAAAGCAACTCAAGATAGATCATTTGTTTTAAATTGAACGGGGAACTCAAAAATATTTTTTATTTGGCAAAAAACCATTGGCGTATCATGTTTTTCTTAAAAAATATCGAAGTCAATACCCGTAAGCACGCCACTGTTAAAGCTATATTTTTGGATTGAAAAATCTGCAACTTTATTAACTATCACTACGTACTGAATATCAGTGAAATATCTGAACCGGTTCTGAAAATGTTAATTAAAATTCATTTATTCCTAAAGCTTCAACACCCCGAGTTTTTGTAAGGAAAAATTTTTGGACCATAGTTTATAAAGTAAACTAACATTAATTTTTGGACCATTGCTTATAAGGCAAACTAACATTAATTTTTCGTGTAGATTCACACCCTTAAATATTCGCATATCATTAAGGAACACCCTGTATAGCAGTGACTGTAGGCTTGTAATGTTAGGAGCTGCCGCTTAAACATGTTTGGTATCAGGGTAGCCAAACCTGACAAACTAACAGACCGACGAGACTTTTAACTAAGAGCAAAGGTCCACCGGACCGCTCTGACGAACAATGACTAATAGTAGTTAGGATCTGTGAGTACCTTTTTGACATGAGCAAGCTTTTTGAACATGAGCAAGCCTGCTGTCATCTGGGAATATGTCGTAACCATACATCTGTGGTATACCTACAATGTACCTAAGTGACAATGTATACGATGGCCAGGATCATATCACTCACTCTAGCACTAGCCTAACGAGTTTGATATTGTGATATAGATGATCGTCCATGGTGGTCAGACTCTAAGACTGGCTTAGTCTTAAGTGTATGTTATACTAATCGGTCCTTCCATATCAGATTTGATAGGATATTTTTTGTGAAATACCTTGAACCCGCTTGACTAGTGTACCAGTGAAGGAGTGGCGCTCATTTGACCATATGTATTGATGTATTATTTCAATAAGGTAGCAAGAAATTAATGTGATATTTCTTTTGTTTCAGCTTCAAAGCGACCTCGTATCAACGTGGAAGAGTGCTCGGTAGAAGAGTCCGACTCTGACCAAGAAGACCTGAAGAGGAGTAGACAATCATCGCCGATGTCTCAACCTGCTGTTCCACTGATGTCCACGCCGTCCCCTGATCCAGTTACCAGTCCTGATCCTGATCTCGACGTCGAGGAAGATACTCAGGGGGAAGCGCCAGAGAATTTGTCAGTGAAAAGGTGAATACATTCACGTTTTTATTGTGTAGATATGTAAAACACAGTTCACAACTATTTTTAGGCATAAACAAAACTTATATACTGGTTTACCGTTACTACTATAGAAAAAATGAACAAGGGTGTCATGCAGGGAGACTCCGAAAACACTTAGATATATCATACTTAGGTGTGCTGTGTTGAAAATACTTCTCTATCATTCTAACCTATAAGTGCATATGTACGGGGAAGTAGATGATAAGATGCGCAATATACCTTATAGGTGCGTAGAACTACCGGGGTTGGACACCTATAAATACCTAACGCAAAAAAATGAGATATACGAGTATGGTATACTCCTCCAACCCCTACAAACCCCAACCTTTCTACAAAAAAATCTGAAAATGAAGCGTCAGAAAATAAAGGTGGACCGACTTCTATTTTTTACATTTTCAAAAACTAAAAAGTTCTGTCGTCCTTGGCATAGTTGTAATCTTTGGCTAACTTTTCTTCCAAATCCGACCGGTACTTTCCAAGTTATATTAGAGGATTAGCGGACGGGCTATGTATGCCATGTATCATCCAAAAAACGTAATATCTCGGTTTCCAAATGTTTTGCTTATCTAGCTGTCAGTAGAACCGATGAAGATCTGTTCTGCCAGATGATTCCAAGTTCTTGTTGAAGAAGTGAAACAGAATGTCTAACAAAATAATATTTGTTCCAGGGAGAAACCATCTAGTCCGGGTACTCCGCCTCACCAACAGCCCAACGTGAACTTCATGCCCACGTTTCACCATCCGTTTGGCCAGTTTCCAAGTCAATACCAACCACCGTTTACAGCTACACAAAGAAGCCCTATCGATGTACTAATGAGGGTGTTTCCAGGAAGGAGGAGATCAGACGTTGAGAGCATCTTACAAAGGTATATAATATAATTTCGCAGATATTATTACTTGGTGATAGTGGAAATATTATCTACTTTCATTCCAGACTATAGCTCTCAAACACGTCATTAAAATCGGAGCACGGGGTTGCTGAGATTACGGGGTTCGAAAGGCGCCATCAGATAGACACCGTAAATGAGTAATCAGTATTTTCTTGATGTTTACGAAATACCTGATGACAGGGCTGATGCAAAAATATTGTTTAAGGAAATATGCGAACAAAATGTTGAAAATCACTAGGTAGAATGCTTACATTTCATCGATGATTTTATTTATTAGTAACAGTAAGTTAATCATAACGCTTAACGTCGAAAACGTCACTCCTGTGCTATGTCCTACGCATTCTCTAATAGGCGAGTATAATTTGGTCACAGGTTTAAGATCAATATCATAATTTCTAACAACATTGCGCCAATGTCGTAGTAAAAAGTAGCGCTCCAACCGGCAGGGTTAATACGTAAAAAAAGCTATATAACGTCAAAAAAATCGGTGAAATGTCTCGACATGGGTATCACATGAAAGTGCCTCACGAGAGAAATACAATAAGCATCGTGACGTCGTTCTCAATCCAATATCGCGGCTGCCGATTCAGATGAAAGGAACACAATAAGCCTAGTGATGTCATTCGGCGGCCGCCACTACAGTTACTCCTATGATATCGGTAACAAATGAAGGCTTGGTGAGAGAAACACAATAAACATAGTGACGTCTGTCTGCAGATTTACATTTTTCACAGTAACCGCTATAACATGAATATCAAATAAAAGAGCTCTATGAGAGAAACGCAATGAGGAAAATGAAGTCTTTCTAAATCCATTATAGCGAGCGTCCCAAGATGGTGTTTAATATTATCCGGTTCACCCCTATGATATAGGTATCACACAGGGCTCTATGATAGAAACATAGCAAGGCTTCGCGATCTCATTCTAAATCTAATATGGCGGCCTTCGCAAAATGACGATTTATAATGTCCATAATCATCCCTATATGGGTATCAAATGAAAGGACTTTATGATGGAAACATAATAAGCAAAGTGACTTTATTCTGATCCAAAATGGCGGCATACGCTGAATAGCGACTCATGATTTCCATGGGTACCGCTATGATATATGGGTATCAAACGAAATGGCTTAATGAGAGAAGCACGATAAGCAAATAACCCTATTCTGAATTCTATATGGCGATCATCACAAAATGTCGATTTCAATTTAAAATTATATAAACAATGGACACCAACAAATAAACATGTATACAGATAAACGCTGAAAGTGCAAATATGAATAATATCTCAGACAATATAAGCATATTATATGTATACGTTTTTACAAGCTTTTATTTCGCCGTTGGTAAAATAAACTAAGAATTAAAAAATACTTTTTACTTAATAAAGCTCCTTCATCTCAAGTTTTCAAATATATGCGCGTTACGTTTGAACACCAGCATGTAAAGAGGGTGTTACGCACTTTGATTTGAGGACCTGAAATAAAAGAGCTTTATTATCGTTTAAATATTTACAATCTGAAAATAGAAGCTCGTTTTTAATAATATATATTATGTAGGTATGTTATATTCATTCCTAACGAGAAAGAACTCCTTACAGATATACTGACACGAATCTTTCTTTACAGGTGCAAAGGCGACGTCCTGCAAGCCATGGAACTGATGGTGAGCGGCGCCGTCCAAGAAGACGTCTCCGCCCCTTCAGCATTCTCCCCTCTTGGCCCACCCGCCAACTACCATCGGTACAGCCCCTCGCGCCGCTTTCTCTCCGCCCCTTACGCTGGAACGGGCTACCTGCCTACTGTGATTCGTCCACCGCCAGACTATCTCTCTCTAGTGAGCGGGGCTGTGCACGATATTTACAAGAGCGAGAACACCACCGCGTCATCGCCTGGATCGAACACCGGGTCGGATAAAACCAGTTACTCGGAATAGCCACTGTTGTATGATAGTTGTGGAGGGTGTAGTTACCATTAGGGATGTTTGTCAGGTTTAGTAATTGTTGGAATTTCTATACATGTTCGAGAAGGAAGACGAGGTTTTCTAGAATACATATATCTGGATAGTGCATGAATACACAGATGTTAAAGGAATGGCATAAGCTTTGAAGTTGAGAATTGGATTGGCAATTTGGTATACGTCCATATCTTTTTCTAGGAAACAATACTTTGATTTGTGAGTCACTGTCACTACTATGCTTGAACAATCTTCAAGGTCTTGCGCATTGCTGATGGATTCCACCTATGGATGAAAAATGGCGCAATAGCCGTTTTACCATCATTCTACCTAAACCACTGCAGCCGTATATCGCCAGCACTGTTTGAGGAATATAAGTTCATAGAAAACGGTTATACCACATGTGCTGACATATTGCTTTGGTCACAGGATGTCGCGACTATAGATTGAGTAAAATAGAGTATATGAGTCTTGAAGACAAACGATACTTATATTATAAGTCCTTGTTAATGACTTTGACCAGAAAGGGTGAAGAGAACAAAGTATCTCGAAAAATATGCTACCCAGAGAAAAATGTGGCAGGGCAAAGTTGCAAGTCTCAAAAAGGATGACCTCGAACGTTACCTTGACAACGACCTTAAACGTGTTACGGTGGTCAAGGATTTAGCTGGACTAGAAGTTACTTTTCCGGGACCACGAATAGGAGTACCCTTCAAAAATTTGTTTGACCTTCGGGTGATCTTGAAGGTCATAGTCAAGGTAGCGGTCAAGTTCATGATAGTGACCTTGGCCTCAAGATGTTTAGCTTTTTTATATCATCGACAAAAAGTAAAGAGTTCACTAGAAAGTTTATCTGACCTTCAAATGACCTTGAAGGTCAAGGTCAGATACAATGCAAGATTATACTCAATTTGCATTTCAGACGTTTTAAGTCAAAAAATATTTTTATACTCAAACCACCACTAAGACCTCAGGAATAAACAACCATGTGTACTGTGAGGCTATAGGGGGGTAAAAGAGAAAGGCCTCGAGTGAGGAAACACGTATGCATGCCACATGCACACATTGTGGCCCCACCTAAGAGATCCGCCGGGTGGTACCTACACGTTCGACAATCAGAGACCGTCTACCACCTACGAACAATCGCAACTTAACGTCTACCACTACGCCTTTGCTGCTGCCTTTGATCTTGAAAAATTGAGACTTCCAATTAACAAACTTGTCTAGACCTTCAAATGACCTTGAAAATAATAGTTAAGGTCACTATTAGGTGTGACCCTCTTCAAACCTTGCAACTTTGTTCTGCTGTATTTTTTTATGAAACGTATTCTTCGAGATATTTTGTCCTTTCCATAATTTTGAGACATCAAAAATATTCATAAAGATCATGATTAATGTGATAGACAAAGGCATGCTTTAACGTTTAATATTCCACTCTTTACATTTCCTGTGTCTTGACCTACAAATCACTTTGAAGGTCATAGTCAAGGTTGAACTCATGGTGACTATTAGGTGCGCCTTTCCAAACCTTACCTTTTATAACAGTTTTTCTTGAAAACGTATTTTTCGTGGTATTTTGGTGTATCCAAATTTTCATGCACGTAATAATTATTGTGCGTATTTTTATTTGGACTCACCTCATCTACTCACGATATAACCGACTGAAAACAGTATCTCAATTCAGATAAAGGGATGGAGAGTCCGCACAGATCATCATATTGCAAGTCTCAGAAAGGACCATCTGGAGGTGACCTTAAACGTGACTTTGACCACGGCCTTAAAGGTTTTACTATGATCGAGGACTTAGATGGACGAGAAATTACTCTTCCGGAACCACGGATAGGAGTAACCTGACCAAAAATGTATTTGACTTTCAGGTGACCTTGAAGGTCATAGTCAAGGTGGAGGTCAAGTTCATGATAGTGACTTTGGCCACAAAGTGTTTAGCGCTTTTTCGTATCATCGACAAAAATTTTAAAATTTATCTGACCTTCAAACGACCTTTAATGTCATGGTCAGGTTTATTAACAAGGATATACTTTAACGTAAGATTCCACTCAATTTGCATTTCAGTTATCAAAATACATGTTTCACGTCAAAAACTCATTTGATCTTGAAATGACCTTTATGCTCATATCCAAGGTCATAGAAATATTTGTATCATAAATTGAAGTTTCCATTTAATTAAACTATCTAGTCCTCCAAATGACCTTGATAATAATAGTCAAGGTCACGTTCAAGGTGACCATCTGATAACTCTCCTTAAACCTTTCAACTTTGTTCTGCTGCATTTTTCTTTACGAAACGGATTCTTCGAGGTATTTTGTCGTTTACATACTTTCAGGAAAACATCAAATATCCCTGAAGATCCTGGTCTAGGTTATGGGAAGAGACATACTTTAACGTGAAATATTCCGCTGTTTACATTTTCGGTGGCAAAAACTGTTTCGGCCTTCAGATGCCCTTCAAGGTCATAGTAAGGTTATGCTGAAGGTCACCTTTAGATGATCCTTTTTAAATCTTACAATTCTGTATCACAACATGTTTCTCTAGAAATCGTATTTTTCGAGGTATTTTCTTGTACCCATACTTTTTGAACACCAGCACCAAACCTAACTCTCAAAATGTGATCCATGTAATAATTATTGCCCATATCCGCCTTATTTTTCATCAGCTTGACTTCACTTAATCTACTCACGATACAACCGACTGAAAACAGTCTCTCAATTCAGATAAAAGGATGGACATTCCTCACAGTTCATCGTATTCAGCGTACCTTTACTCTGACTAATTTGCATTTTCATTTTGAACCGGCGCCCGGCCACGCAGAAAGAGAGAATATCTTGAACACAATGACAAAAATTATTAAAACGAAATAGCAAGAGGAACAATTAGAAGAGGAAGAGAGAAGCTATTGGAACTTCCGCTCGAACAATCACATCAGAATTTAATTATAAAATACATATGAATCCAGTTCCATCCCTCTATTATCCGTTGGGAAGGGGGTTGCAACCCCCTGAGTGCCGACCCCGGCCGTATTGAATACATGAAGCCAGTTATTAGGTTCCCATTGTTAGCCTGTAGCTACCAGATCGTATAAATTATATTGTAAACAGTGGCGTGTGTGTCTGTGGTGATTTTCCCCTCGTTTGAGACAGCCGGGGTTGATTTATATTATGGCATTATAGACAGACTCGATTGTGAGTAGATTTTCAGTAATGGGCATTTGCAAATAATCAGATCATTTGTTAATACGAGTGTCTGTTCATATAGCACGATTCGGTTGATTCCATAATTTATAGGTTTCTATGAGCCTGTTCTATTAAAGTATTTAAATAAGTTGATACTTGTTAAAAAAAGTAGCATTAAATGCTTACCTCAATACAGATAAAATAGTATCTACTGGTGATGTAACGAATATTTGCATTCGCTTTCTCGCATGCGAATATTTCGCGAATGTGAGTATCAAAGAATATTAAAATAATATTACGTACTCTGATAGACATTAGACTATTAGATTTTTTACGACTCAAGATACAGTGTAAATGTGGCGTGTCCTTTATAGGTACAAATCAATGCAGCCACTAAGCATACTTTCAATTAAAAAAAAACAGATTAAAATGGATATAAAATATAGCAGTACAATGTCACGTACCAAAATCTCGCAACCTTTTTTTCTATTTTGATTTTGATCACTTACTAGAAATTTGAATTTCTCCTTATTAATGGTAGAGTGCCCATTTCTAGGCCAAACCGTTTTCAATTATTGTCTTTTGGTAAATTTCATAGCTTATTGATTGTATAATTTCACATGCATTACATCTTTCTTTCTCAGTGATTCTGTTTTGTGTTGAAAAAAAAACTGTGGTTTTTCTTTGTTACTTGGTTTCCTGTTAAACGTATCTTCTTCAAGGTCACTCATTGAACATTCCTTTATAAGGTTAGGTGTTTCGTGTCAGTCCTCCTGAGATTGTGGTGTGAGCGGCGTTTGCTTAATCTCCAAATTCTGGGATGTTAGGTGCCGAACACCTGTTTATGGTGCAGTACCCCTTCATATAGTACCTTACGTTTAGTTGTTTTGGATTGGGCGCTACCCCTTCCATTTTCTTATGGGATTTTAACCTTCAGCGTGGGCGGTATTGCGGAGAACCACCATACACTCCTCCAGCTTTGCTTGTAGCTATTTTGCAGCTGGTATTGCCGGCAGCCACCCCTTCCCCTTAGCAAAAATGATGTGAACAGAGTTTTTGCAGTGCCCAAAGCCGATCGGAATATTTTGTTTCGATACAGAATCTCTGCAACCGGACTAAGTTTTCGCAACAGAAAAACATCGGAACTTAATGTTCACTGAGCGGATTGTCTGATTTTTAGTGGAATGTATAAAATAGCATATTCTGCCTGCCTCTATTTTTTACCCTACTTCGATTTGAACGACTGTTTGAAAGAAACAGTTCTACTCGAGTACACATAAGGCAGGATCCATGCATAATATTTTTAATTCTAGCGACTCCAAACAGATAACGATCTACCAAGTAATAATACTTTTGGAGTGTGGACGGCTTCCGCATTTATTTTAAGCAAGTTGCCATTTTGATGTTAGATTAATCGCAACAGATAAAATCGAGATAGTAAAATAGTATTTAACGAAGTTGAAGGATAGGAAAAAAATTAGTGGTGATATAAAAGAAATTAATAGAGAATTTCAGGCAGAAAAACCGTCACTAACAAAAACAGTATCGGAAATTATAAATCGATACTCCGCGATAGTATTTAATGTTACCCAAATCCGAACGACACATCACAAAATATTGCAAGTTCAAGTCTGAATCCACGGCTTGCCACAAAAGTCCACCTTATACATAACTTCGAATAGGACATCGAAAATTGTATAAAAATGTTAAATGGCAAAATTTAGCCTCAGCCCACAGGCACTACAGATTCTAGATAGTTTTTCGCTTTGGGTATTCAAAATCAAAAGCACTGTCCGAATTCTAACAGAAGCACTCCTTTCAAATAGTTTAAAATAATAAAGTATCGGTATTTGATA